AATGAATGAATGAATGAATGAATGAATGAATGAATGAATGAATGAATGAATGTTCTTCAGATTCTGATTCTATGAAAAAGCCTTGGAAAATACCCTTGGTTGAAAACTGAAAACTGGGAAACAAATATATCACAAAAACATCTCAGCAGTTTTGATCCACAAGGTCTCAGCACCACTAAAATACAGAATGAAAGAAATCCGGCCTCATTCTTAGTGAAAAACGTTTTCCTTACCTGAATCCAAGACTGTACCGATGGCAAAAATTTATTTGTTATGAGCTTAAAACTATCTGTAACGCTATTTATGATGGCTGCGTTGTCTTCATTCTCACTTAGTTTCACATCTAGCAGGAACAAAGGAAGACAATACATTAAATTTCTTTTTCTCAATATCCCTGTGTATTTCTATATAGACACAAGGTATATATATTGTATATACACAATGTGTTTGTACACACACACACACACACACACACTGCATTAATAAATTCTTGAAAAAATGTTCCAGTTGAGCATTTGGCAACCTGTTACTTGTGTGGGTTATTCTAAAGCAGTGTTTCTCAACCTTGGCGATTGGAAGATGTGTGGACTTCAACTCCCAGAATTCCCCCACCAGCCATGCTGGCGGGGGAGTTCTGGGAGTTGAAGTCCAGACATCTTCAAGTTGCCAAGGTTAAGAAACACTGTTCTAAAGCGTATGTAGGAATAGACTTATCCCTTCACCTTTCTCTCCAGATCTAGAATATTTTGCATGGAGTAGAGCAATAGCTTTCTGAGTAGGAATTGTAAGTGGCTTTATGTCAAAAGTCAAGGTATGATGAAAAGCCCTGCATCAAGACCTGAACAGTCAGCACAGGCTGTCACAGGGGGCAACACCTGGTCGACCCCGTCTGACCCTAGGGGCTAAGCAGGGTCAGAGCCTATTAATACGTGGCTAAGAAACATCTACAGAATTCCAAAGCTAGACTGAGAAATTTATTTATTTATTCAAATTCACTACAGCTGCCCAATTCTGACGGAGTCTGGACGGCGTACAAAACCAAAAAGCAATAAAAGCGATTAGAAACAGAAAACCACGCAGACAGCCTGGACTAAAACAATCATAAAGGCAGCAACAACAAGAAAACACAATAAGGCCCCCCAAAATATATTAACCCCAGGGGTGGGACCAAAGCCAGCTTTTGAGAGCTTTTGGGAATCCCAGGGGAGAGGCGCCACCCACATCTCTGGGGGATGCTGTTCCAGAGGGTGGGGGCCATGACAGAGAAAGCACGCTTCCTCAGTCCCGTAAGATGACAATTTTTAATAGGGGTGACCTAGAACACACCCACCATATCGGGTGGGGTGGGACCGGCAGAGACCCTTGCGAATAGGCAGTCCCCCAAATAACCCGGCTCTGGGTCATACAGGAATTTAAAGGTGGTATAAGGCACCTTGAAATACAATCAGAAGCCGAATGGCGACCCATGCAGCTTGTGGAGCAGCAGTGACAAATGGGAATGGCAAAACGCTCCTGTGGGTGCCTGCGCCCCTGCGTTCTGAACCAGCTGTAGCTTCTGGGTGGTCTCCAAGGACACACTGTAATAATCCGGTTGTCCTAAAGCAATAACAAATCACTCCATACTCTTTCCAAGATATATCCATGAAGTCACCAGGAGCCTCTGTACCTTTATTTGCAAGTACCCTACCACAAAACAGTGGTTTCCACATTTTTTTCAAGACATAGCCCATCTTTACAAAAATCAGAATGAATTAGTCAAAGGAGAGTGGGAAAGTGAGAAAACTCACTTTCAAAAGAAAACTACTGAACAACATATCCTAAATCAGCATGCTGGCTAGGGAATTCTGGGAGTTGAAGTCCACTCATCTTAAAGTTGCCAAGGTTGAAAAACACTGTCCTAAATGCTACATCTACTAGGCAATTAGTGAAAATTTTGACATTCAATACCACCCATGAGCTAGAAGTAACTTTTCCATGAATTAGGTTCAAGTACCTGAAGATACTTCAAGGCTGAGAGTATATTTGTGAGAGCCAAGGCCGTAGCTCCGAAGAAAGGTTGCAGAATCATCATCTCCCACAATGCCAAGAGAAGTCAATTCGGGCTGTAAGCAGCCTTCCGTGCCTTCATTCTTCTCCTTTTCCCTGTCGGAGTCTCTGCTATCAGCTTTTGGCACCAGAGAAATGGAAGGAAGGTCCTTGCTACAACAAGGTTGCTGATCATGATCCATGAAAGCTCCTTGCTGATTTGACATCTGCGCTGATGAACAGGTGGCTGTTTTGTCCACTTCATCTCTCCTCCAATCAATTGCTTCAGTGTCATTTATTATGAAGTCAAAGGGATCTGGCACCAGCAGCTGAAAACAATTCTCCATCTCAGTCAGGACAGACTGGATTTCTTGAGACATATCTGTTAAGTAGCAGTAAATTAAGAACAGTGCATACAGACACTAAAGCCAGCTTGTCTCTTGAAAAAGTTTAGCTCACCTATGCAAACTTGGCAATTAATTTTGGCATGTTGCGGACATTTTCTACTTACCACCAAACACACAAACAACAAATAAATAAAAGGCAGAAATCCAGATTTCCCTGCCTTTACTTTTCAAGTGCGAGAGCAAAATTGACAACAAATTGACCCTGTAAGTTAGGAATAACCTTTAGATTGCAGAGCAGTAAACGGTGACAGAGTCACAGGCTGACGAACTACCAGTTTCTGTTAGGAATGTAACTACACATAATTTCTCTTGGGGGGAAGGAGTGACATTCATTCTCCATCTCTATAAAATCATATTATGGCTGTACTAAGTTTAAGAAAGGTTTTATACTGATTATTAAACTGCGTAAGGAAATGCCTTACGTTGTTTAACTGCTGATATTGGCGGTACTGCATATTATAATGTTTTATTTATCTATTCTATGTTTAACTATAAGCATACACTAAATAAAACTACTGCTACTCTCCTTTAAAATGTATGTAACTTTTGACCAAGGGGGGAGAGACAGTTTTCTGATATATGGCACTAGCTCAGAAAGTTTCCAGACCTTCTGCAGCTCAATTTTCTTAACTTTTGCCTTTCACCATCATGTTATTTCTGTTTTCTCCCACTTACTTATTCCTGATCTACGAGCAGATCACGATTTATGGCAATTGGCCTGTAAAAGCACTCCTATTGATAAAACCTACAAATATGAGGGAATAACATTGCAGTGACACCTGGAAATATAATTGGAAGAAATATACCATCCCATACATCAAACCTCTCACCTTCCATTTCCTTCTCAGCTTTTTGGGCTTTATCTTTGTAAATATTATCCAATCGTTTTTGCCTCTCTTCATCTCGTTTTCTCTCTGCTAGAGTTCTGGCACGTACATCTTGAAAATCTACCTGAAAAAGAACAGGGGAAAACCAGGTCCCATTTAATTCAACAGGCACATTCTAAGCATGATAAAGTCAGGATTCAATTCCATATTGGTTGTTTATAAAATGTTAATATTGCTGGTGTATAGCATTGGATGAGTTTAGCATTTTCTTTGGTGCTGAACATCTCTCAGTAACAGATTATTTCCCTATACAGTGGTACCTCTAGTTACGAACTTAATCCGTTCCGTGACTCTGGTTGCAACTCGAGTTGGTCTCAAGTCGAGG